CCCCTTTCGGGCTCTGGCTGACATCCGCCTGCCCCCTGCCTCTGGCAGGGGATTGGGCGGTCCAAGGCCTGCTACCTCTCCTTTGGTATTCGCTCAGTCCTTTGTTCTGTGAGCTGGCCGGCAGTGCCTTAAGTTGGGGCTTTTTGCGAGATAGTTCTCTCTCTCTCTCTCTCTCTCTCTCTCTCTCTCTCTCTCTCTCTCTCTCTCTCTCTCTCTCGCTATCCCACAGTTTAGGTTGCTATCTCACGTTAGCTCACTCAGATTGCCCTCAGGCCATTCAGGCCTGGTCCTTACCCTAAGCAATGCAGCCCGCTCCTCCCCGTTCAGCCCCCGCTTGCTGGTGGCTGATGTGAGCATCTGGGGTACTTCTCTGCTGGGAGTTGCCATTAGGTATGTAATCTGTGGGTTTTATTCATTTATTTTTTCCTCCTGGTTATTTTGCCCTCCAAGATTCCAAAACTCCCCACAGACCCGTCGGTGAGAGGGTTTCCTGGTGTTTGGAAACGTCTCCTCTTTTAAGACTCCCTTCCTGGGATGAATCTCCAACCCTAACTCTTTTGTCTCTCTTTTTATCTTTTATATTTTGTCCTACCTCCTTTCGAAGACAATGGGCTGCCTTTCTGGGTGCCTGATGTCCTCTGCCAGTGTTAAGAAGTTGTTTTGTGGAATTTGCTCAGCGTTCAGATGTTCTTTAGATGAATTTGTGGGGGAGAAAGTGGTCTCCCTGTCGTATTCCTTCACCATCTTAGGACCGCCCCTGTGTATTAATTTTATATCCTATGACTTTACTAAGTACATTGATGAGCTCTAGTAGTTTTCTAGCAGCATTTTTTATGTATAGTATCATGTCATCTGCCAACGTGACAGTTTTACTTCTTCAGAATCATATTTTTTAAATATTTTGAGATAAACTAATCCAGCCAATCACACTATAACCAGTGCCATTTTGAGAGGAAGAAGCTGAGTCCCCAAAATGGTAACTTAGCTAAAGAACACGATGAACCAGTGGCAGAGGCAAGATTAGTACTGTAGGCTCCTGATTCCCATTATAGTTTCCTTTCCATTTTATCTATATTTTCTCAAATGGATTAGTACACAAATTTCATCAACTAATAGGCATGATTATACTGATTAAAGCTGAGAAAAGCCTACATAAATTTAGTATTAGGTACATATTTGTACATGCTTAGTGCAAATTTTTTAGCTTCATATTTGGTAATTAGTATATATTTGATAGGGCTTCCCTGGTGGATCAGTGGCAAAGAATCTGCCTGCCACCGTAGGAGACCTGGGTTTGATCCCTGGACAGGAGGATCCCCTGGAGAAAGAAATGGCAACCCACTCTAGTATTCTTGCCTGGAGAATCCCATGGACAGAGAAGTCTGGTGTTCTGTGATCCTCGGGTTTGCAAAAGAGTCAGACACAACTTAATGACTAAACAAACACAACAACTTAACAACAACATATTTGATAATTTCTCAAACTCTGAACTTAGTTCTCCTTATAGGAGTAGAGTAAAGGAAATGGCAACCCACTCCAGTACTCATGCCTGGAAAATTCCATGGATGGAGAAGCCTGGTGGGCTACAGTCCATGGGGTCACAAAGAGTTGGACACAACTGAGAGACTTCACTTTCTTTTTTTTATAGGAGTAAAATAAAGTGTTGTTGGTAATACATAATGAGGCCAAGTAGTCATGAAATCTCAAGTTTTAAGGATCTTTTCCTTTCCAGTTGTGAAGTTCAGTTGCTTTAATCCATCCACACATGAGTCCAAGCACTGATATGAAATGGTTTTCAGTGTAAAACTAATTGGAACATATTGCAATTAAACATGATTTAGATCACAATTCCTTGCTCTCTTCCTATGTATTTAAGCCCCATTTTCCTCAAACATAGAAAGATTCAGTTCAGTTCAGCTGCTCAGTCATGTCCGACTCTGCGATCCCATGAATTGCAGCACGCCAGGCCTCCCTGTCCATCACCAACTCCCGGACCATACTCAAACTCATGTCCATCGAGTCGGTGATGCCATCCAGCCATCTCATTCTCTGTTGTCCCCTTCTCCTCCTGCCCCCAGTCCCTCCCAGCATCAGGGTCTTTTCCAATGAGTCAACACTTCGCAAGAGGTGGCCAAAGTACTGGAGTTTCAGCTTCAGCATCAGTCCTTCCAATGAACACCCAGGACTGATCTCCTTTAGGATGGACTGGTTGGATCTCCTTGCAGTCCAAGGGACTCTCAAGAGTCTTCTCCAACACCACAG